GTGGGGATGGTGGTTGTGGAGGGCGGTGGTGGGGCCTCGCCGAATGAAGAAAACTCGACGCGGGTGGGGCGAGGGTGGGGGTGGGGGTGGCAGAGGGACACAGGCGGTGGGGTCCGATGGTCCGGCCGGCGACCCGTGCGGTGTTCTGTATGGGAAGAATCAGAGACAAGGAAGAAGAAGGGTTAGGAGACGTAGGATCTTCATCCAACCGCCTGAAATGGTCAACTGACCCAAATGACAAAAGTCATGCGACTTGCATGCATACATGGCTTTATATTCAGTACCATCATCGTACCTGCTTAGCACTGCTCCTGAATCCATCAAACTAAACAACGTGCAACTCACAATTCCAAACTTGTTGCTCAAGTACGAATCTAATATGATGCTGATATTACTAAAACAGATAACATTTAATTGGTCAGCTAATGTTCCTACTTTACTTTCGAAAGGCACGTGCACCACATATAGAGAGATAGCAGGGAGTTGCATTCTTAATGCGCTCTGGTTCATCATGTGTGGGCACTGCGCAATGAACATTTTATTATCCAAAATCTGCTTGCTCTTCTTTAGCATGTTCCTCTTCCACTCTTCTTTAATAAGTACTCTCTTCGTTCCTAAATACAAGTCTTTGTATAGATTCCACCATGGACTACATATGGAGCAAAATGAGTTAATCTACACCCTTAAATGTATCTGGATACATCTGTATGTGATCCATAGTGGAAATCTCTGAAGGAAATATGCCCTAGAGGCAATAATAAAGTTATTATTTATTTCCTCATATCATGATAAATGTTTATTATTCATGCTAGAATTGTATTACCCGGCAACATGATACATGTGTGAATACATAGACAAACATAATGTCACTAGTGTGCCTCTACTTGACTAGCTCATTAATCAAAGATGGTTATGTTTCCTAACCATAGACATGTGTTGTCATTTGATGAACGGGATCACATCATTAGAGAATGATGTGATGGACAAGACCCATTCGTTAGCTTAGCATTATGATCGTTGAGTTTTATTGCTATTGCTTTCTTCATGACTTATACATGTTCCTCTAACTATGAGATTATGCAACTCCCGAATACCGGAGGAACACCTTGTGTGTTATCAAACGTCACAACGTAACTGGGTGACTATAAAGATGCTCTAAAGGTGTCTCTGGTGGTGTTTGTTGATTTGGCATAGATCGAGATTAGGATTTGTCACTTCGATTGTCAGGGATGTATCCCTGGGCCCTCTCGGTAATGCACATAACTATAAGCCTTGCAAGCAATGTGACTAATGAGTTAGTTGCAGGATGATGCATTACAGAACGAGTAAGGAGACTTGACGGTAATGAGATTAAACTAGGTATTGAGATACCGATGACCGAATCTCGGGCAAGTAACATACCGATGACAAAGGGAACAACATATGTTGTTATGCGGTTTGACCGATAAAGATCTTCGAAGAATATGTGGGAGCCAATATGAACATCCAGGTTCCGCTATTGGTTATTGACCGGAGACGTGTCTCGGTCATGTATACATAGTTCTCGAACCCGTAGGGTCCGCACGCTTAACGTTCGGTGACGATCGGTATTATGAGTTTATATGTTTTGATGTACCGAAGGTAGTTCAGAGTCCCGGATATGATCACGGACATGACGAGGAGTCTCGAAATGGTCGGGACGTAAAGATTGATATATTGGAAGCCTATGTTTGGACATCGGAAAGGTTCCGGATGAGTTCGGGCATTTACCGGAGTACCGGGAGGTTACCGAAACCCCCCGGGGAGTATATGGGCCTTATTGGGACTTAGTGGAATAGAGGAGAGGAAGGGAAAAGGTGGAGGGCGCGCCCTCCTAGCCCAATCCGCATTGGGTGGGGGCCGGGCCCCCTCTTTCCTTCCCTCTCTCCTCCCCTTCCTTCTCTCCTACTCCTACTACATGGAAGGAGGAATCCTACTCCCGGTGGGAGTAGGACTCCCCATGGTGTGCCATAGTAGAGGGCCCGCCCTCCCCTCCTCCACTCCTATATATACGGGGGAGGGGGGGCCCCATAGACACACAAGTTGATCATTGATCTCTTAGCCATGTGCGGTGCCCCTCCACCAAAATCCACCTCGTTCATATCATCGTAGTGCTTAGGTGAAGCCCTGCGCCGGTAGCTTCATCATCATCGTCATCACGCCGTCGCGTTAACGAAGATCTTCCTCGACAATCTACTGGATCGTGAGTTCGTGGGACGTCACCGAGCCGAACGTGTGTAGATCGCGGAGGTGCCGTACCCTCGGTGCTAGGATCGGTCGATCGTGAAGACGTACGACTGCATCAACCGCGTTATCATAACGCTTCCGCTTATGGTCTTTGAGGGTACGTAGACAACACTCTCCCCTCTCGTTGCTATGCATCACCATGATTTGCGTGTGCGTAGGATTTTTTTTTGAAATTACTACATTCCCCAACACAACTGGCACTGGGCACTAGGTTAATAGGTTAGTCCCAAAAAAAGATATAAAATTGTATATAATTGCATATAAACATCAAAGATTGAAACTATGATTGCATGGAACAATAAAAAAATATAGATACGTTGGAGATGTATCAGGCCAACATCCTGGTGTTGTTGCTGCTGCTTTTGTGGCTCCTGCTACTACCATTGACCAGTACGACAACTACGATGGTGATTACGAGGACGAGGTTCCTCAAAATCAGAACTACGTGCAATCACCAGCTCCAGCGCCAGGTCGTCCACATGCATACAATCGCAATGGCAGCGCTGCACCGCCCCCTCAGGTACGAGATCATGACCATGTCCCTAAGCTGAAATTGAATATTCCTCCATTTGAGGATAAATACATTCTTGATGCATATCTTACTTGGGAGTTAGTAACTTAACAACAGTTTACATGCTTACAATATCCTGAGGATAGAGGTGTTGTTGCTGCTTCTGTTTGTGAATTCACTAGTTTTGCTTCTTTTGATGGTCTGAACATTGTACATTATATCATGATAATATCCTAACTACTTGGGCTACTTCAAAAACTGATATGCGTACTCGTTGGGTTTCACCATATTACGAACGTGAAGTACTTCAAATATTACACCATTTAAGGCAAGGAAACAAATTATGTAGAGACATATTATCGGTAATTACGAACTGGCATGATTAGTTGTGGTATTGTTGAGGATAATAAAACTATGTTTGGATGTTTTATGGGTGGTTTAAATAGAGAAATTCAAACCACCTTAGAGTATAGGATTATAACAATATCACTCGTTTATTGCATCTTGCTTGCAAAGCTGAACGTCAAGTGCATGATTGACAGACGCGAACTAATTTTGCTGCAGGTCTAACCTTCATCATGGACACCGCGTACATCATCTACATCCACACGTCCTGCTGCAACAACGCCTAGTTCAGCCCGCCAACTCCAACCGATATACAAGAAAATAGGCACCACAACTACCCTCCGCCAAGAGCACACCTTCGGGTCCTGCACACAACTTTTCATCATCCATGGCATCAAAAGGGCAAACGCGTGATGGTATATGTCGTCGTTGCAAGGATGAAGGTCATTATGCGAGCCAATGCCCATCGAAGCATGTGATGATCATTACTAAGAATGGTGGGTCTGAGTTCACGAGTGATTATGATGTCGAGTGAAAAGTCGCAAACGGTCCCAGCCTAGGTAAAGTGACAGCAGTGTGTACCATGCATCAGGAACATTTTTTAAATATTTGATTAGCATTTTTTTGATACATGATCAACATTTTTTTTAAATTTATGTTTTTAATCACTTTCTACATTTTTGGTACATACTAGGAACATTTTTTTACATGTTCAACATTTTAAAATAGATAATTATCTTTTTAAAAGCATATATTTTACACATTTAATATATGTTTAACATTTTGAAATATATGACTAACATTTTCTTTATACACGATCAACATTTTTCAAAATTTATGGTTTTATATTCAAAAAATTTAATACACATTCTACATTTTTCGTGTACATCAGTAACATTATGTTGTACAGTTTAACATTTTTGAAAAAGATGATTAACGTTTTTCAAATATCTGTGTTTGATGGTACTTTTTTCATACTCATCATATATTTAAGGTATACATCAGGAACATTTTTATACATATTTATCAATTTTGAAATATGTGATTACCATTGTTCTGATGCATGATCAACATCTTTTGAAATTTATATTTTTATGTAAAAAATTTTAATACACGTTCTACATTTTTGGTATACATCAGGAATATTTTTTTACATGTTTAACATTTTTGAAATCGATAGTTAACATTGTTTTAAAAACATATATTTTTAGATGTCTACTTTTTCCATACACATTATACTTTAATTTTTTCTTCAGGAACAATTTTTGTGTACATCTTTAACATTTTCCAAATAAGTTATAAACATTTTTAAAAACTTATATTTTATGTCTACTTTTTTTCATACCCATTGCACATTTTTTGTATACATCAGAATCATTTTCTCTATATGCATTTAACATTTGTCAAATGCATGATTAACAATTTCAAAAATCTCTCTATATATAAAGCTTATATTTTTAATATACTCCCTTGGTTCCTAAATACAAGTCTTTTTAGTTAGAGATTCCAATATATACTACATATGGTGCAAAACAAACTATGTCTATGTATATCCATATGTAGTCTATATTGAAACCTGTCAAAATACTTATATTTAGGAACGGAGGGAGTATTTGAAAGTATAAACAAAAGTGAAAAAAAGAAATAAAAAAATAAAAAATGGAGAATAGAGAATTTTTTATAAAACAAACGAGGAAGTGGCCTCCTGCGCCCCTGGGCCGGCCCAGTATGCGCTCGCTTCACTGTAGCTTCGTTGAGCCATATATATATATATGCAACCTGAGTAGAACAGGATAGGTTTACCGTCTGCGCCGCCGCCGCCGCCCCCCACCGGGCCACCCCCACAACCCCCAACCCCCAGTTGAATCCTCCGGACGCCATGGCAGCCGTACCCTCCTCCTCGTCGTCGTCGACTCGCCCGAGTCTGCCTCAACTCCCCAATGGAGAAGGCGACGAGCCTCCAAACTGGGTTCTCCTCGACATCCTGGGCTACATCGCTGAATGCCCCAACGCAACCTTCGCCGAGAGCTCCACCAGCAGCGGCCATCGCATCCAAGTATCCTTCTACACCGCCCGCCCGCCTAACGTCTCCCACTTCTGTGTCCACTGCCCAGGTGTTAAACCATCAGAATATCTTATGGCTCCCAAGGTCATCAGCGCAGAGGCCAATCTCATCCTCTTCTGCCTTTCTGTGACCCCCTACGCCTGCTTCAATCCGCGTTACCGCGACTACTTCCTCTACAGGGCGCACCCACGGAACCCATCACTGGACCTTCTTCCGCATCCGTACCCCAACTCCTTCGGCGACCAGGAGGTCGCCCTTCTGAGCTTCGACGGCGACGGCGACGAGTACGCCGTCGCTGCTCTCACAAGCAGGTGCGACACCGTGGCTCTCGAGGAGGATGACACGCTCAACGAGACGGAGTTCGATCTCCATCTGTACCGCTCCTCCAAAGCTCAGGAGGGGTGGACCTCCAAGGTGCTGTCGGTGGCACAGCCACGGAGGGACATTCTGTGCCCTGTGGATCGAGGCCTGTATCATGAGACCACGAAGGTGATCGTCCTAGGGCGTGGCAGCCTAGCCATGGTAGGCTGGGTTGACCTCTGGCGTGGCATCCTCGTCTGCAATGTGCTCCAGGAGAATCCCGTTCTCCATGACATACTGTTGCCGCCACCGGCGAGGGGTAACTGGGCACTCTACCACAAATGCCGCCCGTACATCATTCGGGACGTCACCGTCAGCTTGCTCAAAGATTCCATCAAGTACATTGAGATGGAAGTTTGCCCACCGGTTGTTGACCCTGGCGACCCTCCTGCGTCCTATGCTAACTGGTTTCGTCAAAAGCCTCGTGAATGGCAGTGCAGAACGCCTTGTGTAGGCTGGAGAGCCACCACATGGATCCTATCGATCTCAAATGTTACATCTGCAAAGTGGAACATTAACTGCACCTTTGATATTGCTGATGTCACTGTCGACCCAATGCATTCTGAGCTGCTGCCTAAGCCGAGCAGCATCAACGACAATCCCAGTGAAGCATCATTGCAGTGCCTCGTCATTGGTTTTCCCACCATGAGCATGGATGAGGATGTTGTCTACATGCTGTCTAAGGCCTGCCCCATGGGTTCGATGGAAGTTGTGATTGCTATTGACATGAAGAAGAAGAAGGTGCAAGGAGTTGCGAAGCTTGTTACCGGAAAAGACTTCACTTATACGCGTAACTGCACCAGCGAAGTCTCCAAATATCTTAGTGAAGACAAGGTAATTATTCTGTTCTAGACCTGCTTCATTTCCATGTGACTACCTGTATGAATGGTTTGCTTATCCTATATGTTGAGTTGGTGAAATGAAACCCTACACTTATGGGTTCTTGACAAACCTGTTTGTGCTACTTGCTTAGCAGTCTGATGCCATCATTTTTCCAACTAAGTGAAATGTTAAGATAGTGGAGTTCATCAGGACTGAAAATCTAGGCACTTGTAAAGGATGCCCAATTTTTAAAGAACTGTGAACCAATAGTGCCTTATCATATTACTCAATTGGCAATTGCTTAGGATGGTCCAAATGACTTGCTAATCGTGGATAGACATTCAAGGTTGTGTTCCCCTTTTGTTCTTGTTAGATCATAACTTTAGTTGTTAGTGGACTTAATTCTGGTGTGTTTAGCTTGATTACGACGATGGTGTGCAATGAGATGGTAGTTTGAACCGCTGTTCTATTCCAAATCAAGCTGCATGAGGTGTATATATCAGCTGATATAACAATTCTTGGGGCTCCAGGCTGTAGTAAGCAAAAAACAAATACTCCCTCTGCTCTAAATTAGTTGTCACTCAAACGGATGTATCTAGCACTGAAATATGTCTAGATACATCCGTTTCAGCGACAACTAATATGGATCAGAGGTACTCCATCTGTACACAATTATACAAAACGTCTTGTGATTGTTTACAATGGGAGTAGTAAATTATGTTCAACTGATTTTGTGTTCCCTTTCATTGTAAAGCAACCGTTTCTAACAGACCAGCAGAGCTGGTGTACAGATGCATTTAGAGAACTTTCAGATTTCTTTAATGGTACTAAATGTGGGGTGTCATAAGAAGGATCTGAACAGCACGTGTCGAATGGTCGTCAAAAAGTCTGCATAATCATTATAGCGGTGAGGATAGGCATTTAGGTGTAACGCTCTCTCTTCGTGGAAAGGCAGTATTAGAAAAGAATGAAAACAAGCACCATAGTTGTTGCGTTAGCACATTACAAAGTTTTTTACTTACCAAAGATTAAACTTTGCAATGCTATATGTAATTTTTTTTGCTAATGTTATGTATTTAAAAAAAACTCACTAAAGCAATCTAATAATAGTCGCAGCACTAATCAATTTCCAGGACTCATCGATTTCCCGGACAAATAAAAAAGAACGCATGTAGGAATACTGTATGATAAAAACATACCTTCAAAAGTATTTGTCCTGTAGTTTCTTTTTCGCTTTGTGGAACCATGATTACTGCCAGTTCTTGTTTTCTGTTCTCTACATCCAATGGACAACAT